CCGTTTCAGTTTCAGTCAAGGGCAGCAAGCAGATAGACTCAAGGTACGCAGAAGATCTTACACACTGAGGAGATGCTACTGCGTGTCCCAACCCGATAGTGTCTGTCTGTGTCTGCATGTAAGAGTGAGAAAGGGAGGTAAGAAACTTCAAGAGAGGGATTGAGATAATGCAGCACACACACAATTCCCCTACCCCAGTGATGCTTGGGTTGACCAGATGTTTCTGAGTCTGGCACAAGCAGCCAGGCCAGAATAACGGAAGTTTCTTAGTTGGTGAAGACTTAAATATCTGCCTGAGGTCAGAAGGCAATTTGCCTGCCTTGTGCAAAAGCTCAGGTTGAAAGACTGAGATGAATGTCTTTCCTCTCCCTGCCTCCCAAAAGGCTTCCTCCTGGAAAACTCCTTGGTAGATTTGGCCAGGAGCATGCCTGTATGTAAATTGGAGAAATACACACACCGTACACTATCCACAGATATAGCCAAGTAGATTTGGGTAGAGAATACTATTTCCGAAGTAGTGTTTAGCTCACCTAGGGGGATGTGTTTGTATACGCATTTGCATATACCCACACGGGGACATAAGCTAATTTTTTACAGGACACAGAATTCTGTTCAATGCTGTTAAATATGCCAGTAGTTTAATCTCTTCTATTTTGCTGTCGTTGCTTGTTTGAAGAAAATCATGACATTCCAAGTTGACTTTTTTTTTTTTTCATTTTAATTAAAATTTGAAATTCTGAACACCCTTGGCATCCCTCTAACTGGGGTCATCTGACCTCTGTCCCTCTTCCTTTATCCTGCTTCATGTTTGGGGCCTTCATTTAACTGCCTTATGGGTTGGCTCAGATGGGAGATGAGTCAGTGTGGGTCAGGGGCTTGTGCACAGGAGGGAAGCTGCAAAAGTGGCCTGCCTTGGCCGGACAGCTACCTTTCCTGGGTTTGGGACAGTCTGCTCCCCTCCCCCAGCTCACTGGTGGGTGAATACCACCTCCTGAGGGTCTCACCTCATGGAATTAAAATTGGTGGCCACTGGGGAAGCCTGACTCTGCAATAAGCTATAGGGTTTTTTGTTGTGTTTTTCAAAATAAAACTATAATATAAATTCTCCAATTAAATAAAATTACTTTAAGTTTTAGTGTTGAAAGTGAGATGCCGAGAGTAGGTGATAATGTACATTTTACACAGCTGGGGACAGTAGGAAGGTGACATTAACATGGGTGCTCTGTCTCTTTTTTCAGATTTGTATTTGTCCTGTATGAGTATTTGTACCTTCAGTTCATTCCACTTTAGGAAACAGAGCTGTCAATTGAAACCGGAGGCAAAAAGAGAAACAGACAACGTGTTGTAATGTCTTGCACACACGCAAAAATGCCCAGGCGAGGTGTTTGGCAGAACCCCCAAGTGGCAAGGAAGTGCAGTCATCTGGTTTCCCTGGGATTGATTTTATTACCTGTACCTTTCACCTTGCAGCCATGCCCTTTGGCTGGTGGAAAATGGGAGGCTTTCCCCTCTCAGTGGGCCCGTGTGCGCAAAGGGGCTGAGGTCGGCAGGCCCATGGTTTTTATGGGGTGAGCCCCAGACTTGGTGTTCTGAGATTTTATTCAACCTCAAAGTCTTAATAAGGTAGAACCCCTGACCCAGCCTGCCCATGTGCCCTTCCATAATCAGACATCGGCATCTCCTCTGTGAAGTCCCTGGCCATTCTTGGTCCCTGGTGGGGTCACCTCCACTCACACGAGGAGGGACTTGGGCTGAGGCCTGAGCCTGAGTCACCTGACGTTTCCTGCAGAAAGGTTGGCAGAAACATAGTCCCACCTGCCAGGCCCTGGCAAAGAGAACAGCAGGTCCTGGGAAAAGAAGGGTCTTTTGCAAAGTGATGTCGTCAGAGGGCGGTTTTTGAGCTTTCTATAAGCTATAGCTTTGTTTATTTTCACCTGTTCACTTACTGTATAATTTAAAGTCATTTATGTAGCTGAGACACTTCGTATTTCAATCATATCGTGAACGTTTTATTTTGCTAAATCTTGTGTCATGTATAGGCTGTAATATGTGTACATTGTGTTTAAGAGAAAAAAAAAATGAAACCCACATGCCGCCATTTTTCCTGAATCAAATTCTACAGTGGAATGGAGGGTAAAATACTTCTACTGTGCAGGCAGCTAGACTGGTGACGTGGGGAAATGAAGGAATTAGCACTTGAGACTCCTCCAGCTTCCTCCCTGCAGGCATCCGGTGCCTGCTGGAGTAGAGAGGAGGAGGGGAAAAAGAGCAGGTACATTCACACCCTTGCTCTGAATCAGCGGGCCCTGGGCAGTCTGCTAGTCATTTCTATTCCTTCATACCCCGCAACCTCTGCCCACCCAATTGGAAAGCCATGATTTCTCCTAAAAATCCAGGGCCATGGGATCTGTGATTCCGAGATCCCTTGGCCCCTTCTGGCCGGCTCTTCTGCCTCCCTATCCAGGAGGTGACACACCCAGGTTCTCACCTCTTAGGCCAGGGCTCCATCTGCCAGGGTAAATAATACTGGAGACTTGCATCCTTTCCTGTTCCCCAGACCCAGACCTATGTCATGGCAGTGGAACTACAGCCCACAAGCACCATTTTTCATACCATTATTCTTGAGCAATTAAAGAAGCAAATGATTATTGGAACGGCTCTGTCTCAAAAACGATGTGGCCCCCTGGGAGATAGTACTTTCCCCTGCCCCAAGCCATCATCTGTGCTTGACGATCGCCAATATGGATTACCCCAAGATGACACCCAAGCGTTGGGCTCTTGGCTACCTAAAGTATAAATATCACTAAAATAGTTTATACAAGGAAAACACTTTATAAATCAGATGGTAAAAGCAAAACAAAATGGGAGCATGTAGGGTACATGAATAGCAACAGCCTCCAGATTGGCTCCTGGGAGACAGGAGGAGGGGAAGAACTTAGACGCCAGTTCAGGCTCCGAGGGGAGGGGCTTTGTAGATTCTCCTGTGCCCCGACCTTTCCCCTAAGCCAGTCTGCTGTCCTGAGACCCAGAAGTGATGGAAAGAAACCAACCAGAGAAAACCCTGTCTGGAAGGAATGTATTTGTTGCTAAATTTTGTAGCACTGTTTACAGTTTTCCTCCATGTTATTTATGAATTTTATATTCCGTGAATGTATATTGTCTTGTAATGTTGCATAATGTTCACTTTTTATAGTGTGTCCTTTATTCTAAACAGTAAAGTGGTTTATTTCTATCACACACCTGCCGTCTCTTGCCTCCTGGTGTTCCAGCTGCCGTTGGGGGTTATAGAAGCAGCAGAGGGCCTTGGAAGCTGGGCCTGCCTGCGCTGGCCCCAGGCCCATGCACACGCCCCTCTCTCCATTCACTTCTACTGCTTGGGTCCACCCTACTCCAGTCCTTTCCCCAAGCAGGAAAAATTTCAAGGGAGGCATCTTAGATTTCCTCTTGGCTACGAATCCAGCCCTAACTTGCTCCCTGATTCTATGGCCAGGGTTCTCCACAGTCCTGCAGAATCTGGGTCACTACCTAATTACCTGTGAGTGGTGCAAGTATTCCCAGGTGGGGCCCCTGACTTGGCCTTCCCTGTTTTCTTCCTAAGAGTCTCAACCCAGTAGAACTGGGAGGAGCCAGCTGCAAACAGCAGTCCTTGGTGTCAGATGTCTGCCTGAAGTTCAGAGTATGGCTCAGCCTAGTTGGGAATGCCAGGAACTCCTGAGTCCCCACGATAGCCGGTGAACCCCTCCCAGAGTGAACCCCTTACCCAACTTTCATCCCACTGTTCACAGTGTTCCAGAGTATAGCTTTTGCCCCTATTTTAAGCTACTCTACTTTGAGCACCTCTATCATGTGCCAGGCAAGCACTCCTCTGTACACACAAACTGTCTTAAATCTCAACACCCCGATGAGGTTGTTCCACTACCATTAATATTTTTCAGCTGAGGAAGTGGAGGCTCACAGAGATCAATTCATTGCCCAAGACCTAGTAAGTAGGCAGAACTGGGATTTAAATGCAGGCTGGTTTGATGAGAAACTTTGAATTTTCTGTACTGTGTTCACACTTGTTGGAGTATGCCAGGTTCTATATGCCCCTCTTATTCCAACCAGCACACCCCGGATTCTATGACTCTCCCTGGAGCAGACACAGGGAAAGACAATCAACAGGAACCTTTGCCTGGTGGGACTGCTCCAGTCCTACTCAGTGTCTCCGAATAGGACTGTCCAGTTCATCAGCCTGAGCTTGGGATTCTACAAACAGGTCACTATCAGATACCCTATTAACCATCCTGTTCCCCAAGACACATACTCCTCCCATGGCCAGCATTCCCCTGACCAGTTTAAGAACATCACCAACCACCCAAGTAGGCATGTCACAGGCTGTTTCCAGCTGTCCTGAACTTTTCCACCGAGGTTCTTCTGGCTTTGGGATGGAGAATTCTCCATCCCATTCAGAAAGATGTTAACCTCTCCCACCTCCGAATGAGAGGCTCTACCACGTACTCCAAGCTAAGCTCCAGTCACTTCCTAGAGGCAACCTCAGGCGTATTCAGAAGTTGGAATATGAGGAGGACACACAAGGAAACGGCCCTTCAGTAATCAATGCAAGTAAACTCTTATTACAATAAGAGTTGAAAGTAGGTTCTACATAGGCTCAAGGGAAACAACGTCTTAACTTTGAAACATCTTTTACCTTTGCTGCGAAACTTTTGCTCCAACATGGCAGCTCAAGTTGAACCCTGGCATGCTGAAAATTCCTGATGTTGCAAGAAATGCCATCCACCTTTGCAACCTTCCCTACTGCCTAAAATTTCACCTGGAGTGAGGACTCAGCCCCTAGGAAAGCCAGGCATTCCCATAGGCCATCATGGCTCTTCTTGAGAGCCCAGGTGGTCAGATGGTAGCCCCTGAGCCTGCGTCCTCCATCCAGAGAGACTGAAAACATGGACATCTGTGTTCATTCCACACCATGAAGAACAACATGAAGAGTAAAAAAGAGCACTCACCATTGGCTTGTGGTTGGGGAAAAATGTTTGTTCTACAAGCGGGAACTTCTCAGGACCCAGGGAGTGGAAGATTTTAATGAGCTGAGAAAACTAGGACAGAAGAGGAGAGAACATTGGTCAACCACTGTTATGGGAACACCTGCCACTTGATCCCAGGCCTCAAACATGTGACTGTTCTGAGCTGTTTTGGGGATAAAGGCCAGATTTCTTGGCTAGACTTTCATCTTCTCCATCATCTGGCTGCATTAATCCCTTCATTCCTGCAGGCCACTGAGTTCAGCTCAATCACTTTTAATGGGCATTTACCACACCCTCAGTATTTCTCACAAGCACAACCTGCTGACATGCATGCCATGTCCCCAGCCTGCAAGGCCTTTCTTTCTGGAGAGGCAATATTGCTAGTAGTTAATGGTACGGACTCTGCATTGAGATTCTCCATCACTTACTGGCCATGCAACCTGGGAAGGCACTTCAGGTTTCGGAGTTTCAGTTTCCTCATTGGTAAATGAAGAAAATAGGAGATCCAACCTCATAGGATTGTTGTTGTAAGGATTAAATACACAATGAATTAAAAGCAGTGCCTGGTCCATAGGAGCACTGGGATGTTAGCTATTATTAATCATAAATATTTTCCCTGCTTTTACAGCCCTGCTTGTTCTCAACAACTTAAACCACATTCCTCCCACCCTGGGCCCTTCCTGCCTCCACACTTCCTTGTCTTACCATAGAGGCAGCTGCTGTCCCCAGAGCTGTAGTAAGTCCTGAAAGACAGGCCTTGGACTTATATCCCCTCCATAATCCTACACTACTCAGCACTCTTGGGAGCCCTCTTGGTGCCCAGCATTGCACTTGAACATTAGGGCAACAAGCTGAACACAGCACACCAGGCCTTGAGGGAGGAGAGAGTGTGGCAGGTGGTTAAGATAATAATACCTTGATGGAAGGAAGAAAGGGGGGTGATGAGACCTGGAAGAGGCAGAGTGGGGGTCAGGACAACTCCCTGGAGCAAATGCCATAAAGAAAGAGGAGGATAGGCACTCCAGGTATGCAGTGAGACTAGTGTGTGCTAGAGGTGCCAGTGGCTGCCATGCCTGAGGCCTTGCATGCATGACACAGTGACAGAGGTGGCCAGAAGGTGATGCATGACACCCCACTGGGAGACTGAAAGGCCAGACCCAGGAACTTGGAATTCACCCAAAAGGCAAAGGGGAGCTGCTGGTAGATATTAGCAGGGAAGACCAAGGGAGAATCTGATTAGGATGAAGAAATAAGCTGCAATCTGTGGCCTAATGTGGATGCCCAATGGCTAGAAAGGGTACCAGATCTTGTGTCAGACTTGAGAGTAATTCAATACTAATGGCTCAGACAGAGTATGGGGTTACTCAGGAGCTTCATGCATCAGGCAAGGACTGGTCTGCAAACTCTTAGGTATAGCCTACCGGTGTGGTGCAACATGAGTCAGCTTAGAGGGTCTGTGGGACCCCAGAAATATGGGACATGATGGGAGATCCCTCATTTTGCAGATAAGAAAACTGAAGTCCAGAGAGGGACAGTAATTCCATGATCAAGTACACAAGTTTTGGAGATGCCCAGCTCCACAGCTTACTACTAGCTACCCTGGCCCTAGTTTCCTCATCTGTACAATGGAGATATCAGCAATAACTACTTGTCAGGGTGGTTCTGAGGATCAAATATAATGTGCATGTCAAGGGCCCAGCACGGCACACAGTCAGTGTTAATGAATGACAGCTGCTGTCACCATGATGTCTATCTGGAAAAACAAGGGGGTGAGGGTGGCTAATACTACCTAGGACCCTTTCCGAACAGTGGCACTTGAATCTGGATGCACAGACCAAAAATCTCAAGGTAGAATGAGAAGGACACCAAAATCATGAAACTAGTGGTTAAAGACTATCCACATCTATTAAATGAACACAGATGTTCCTTTAATAAATACTGAGTACCAACTCTACAGAGACCTTGCTCCAAGTATGAGGGGAAATAATAATTGCCACTATTATATATGTATATATAATAAAATATATACATGAAAGACACCATTTTATATCTGAAAATGTAAAATATACCATGTTATAAGTGAAAAATAAAATAGACCATTCAAGGTGGGGAAAAAATCAAACAGAGTAAGGGATTTGAGAGTATTTGGAGGAGTGAAGGCGTTTCAGGAAAGGCCTCTCTCACAGGTAACATTTGAACGGAGACTCAAATCAAGTGAATGAATGAAAGCAATGAGTAAACAGTGGGGAAATCAAGTTTTGGGCGTTGGAGAGAGACGGCTTCAAGGTCTGGTTGCCCCTCACTGGCTACGTAACCCTGGGCCAGCTGCTTCACCGCCCTGAGGCTGAGCTTCCTCTTCTGTCAAATGAAGAAGGAATGCCAACACCCACTTTATACCACAGCAATAGACTGAGCGCCAGGCAGCAGGATTTTCTGGTGCATAGTAAGTGCTCAACAAAGCAGTGCCTACTATTAACAAAAATGATATGACTAAATGGTGGTATGAACAAGACAGTATACCCCTCCTACAAACTAGTATTGTTACAGGGTAACACTGCATCATGATATGTTGTTACGTACTATTTGTTAGGCAGTAATTGCAAAAAGGGGCTTGGAGTCCAAGTTGTTTACAGTTGCTTAAGAGACTCCTTTCATTACGGAGGCCACCAGGCTGGGGAATGGACCCGCTTCAGGGTTGGAAGACCTCCCACTCTGCTCCCACCCAGCCTGGCCCATCACCTACCACCCAGGGCTTGCTGCAGAAGTTGTAGACAGAGTAGAGGGAGTTGACGGCAGGCAGCCCTCCGTACTGCAGGCCAATGACCAGGCTGCGGTAGTCTTCACCCAGGGCCATGCTGTAGGCATGCTGGCGGACCAGGATAAAGTCGGGCTTGAAGGATCTGCCGAGAGAGAGGCACCAACAGCAGTGTCACCACACCAGGTACTGATGGAACACGAGGGTGCCAGGCCACAGCCCACTGAGACAGCTGGGTGGGGAGCAGGATGAGGAAGGTTGGGTGCAAACTCACAGCCGCTACAAAGTCAAAGGACTGAACACAACTCACATTTTCTTCTTGATCTTTTTTAGGCTGTTTTCTTAATTTTCTACATTGAACAAATATTTCATTTGCAACCAGAGAAAGAATGTATCAAAATATCAGCGAGTATACTGTGATTTTTCACTAGGCACATACTACCTTACCAAATCCTCATAATTGCCCCAGGATGTGGGTATTGCTGCCAAGGAATGAATTTTATAGATAAGCACCCTGAAGCTCTGAAAGATTAAGTTACTTGCTCAAAGGGATCCACTGCAGGTAAATGGCAGGTTCACGTCTGCGGAGCCGGGGCCCTTGTTATCAGCCACCGTGTAACATGGCTTCCCTCCTGTGTATTTCAAATGCGTCCTGTCCCTTTCAAGTAGCAGCCTCTGGAAAGCAGCCAGAGCACTCATGTGAGAGCTGAGTACACGCCAGTCTCCTTGCTAGGCCCCTTTGGAGAGCTGAGCCTGACCAGTACTCCTAAGCAGACCTGGGGAAGGTCAGGACCACTTCCCCATTTTATAGACAGGACACTGCAGCTCGGAGAAGTCAGGAACTTCCCCAAGTCGCAAAGCTGGGAAAAAGGGATGCCACGTTTGAACTCAGGTCATCTGGCTCTAAGCCCACATACACTTTTCCTGAATGAAAGCAATGAGTAAACAGTGGGGAAATCAAGTTTTGGGCGTTGGAGAGAGACGGCTTCAAGGTCTGGTTGCCCCTCACTGGCTACGTAACCCTGGGCCAGCTGCTTCACCGCCCTGAGGCTGAGCTTCCTCTTCTGTCAAATGAAGAAGGAATGCCAACACCCACTTTATACCACAGCAATAGACTGAGCGCCAGGCAGCAGGATTTTCTGGTGCATAGTAAGTGCTCAACAAAGCAGTGCCTACTATTAACAAAAATGATATGACTAAATGGTGGTATGAACAAGACAGTATACCCCTCCTACAAACTAGTATTGTTACAGGGTAACACTGCATCATGATATGTTGTTACGTACTATTTGTTAGGCAGTAATTGCAAAAAGGGGCTTGGAGTCCAAGTTGTTTACAGTTGCTTAAGAGACTCCTTTCATTACGGAGGCCACCAGGCTGGGGAATGGACCCGCTTCAGGGTTGGAAGACCTCCCACTCTGCTCCCACCCAGCCTGGCCCATCACCTACCACCCAGGGCTTGCTGCAGAAGTTGTAGACAGAGTAGAGGGAGTTGACGGCAGGCAGCCCTCCGTACTGCAGGCCAATGACCAGGCTGCGGTAGTCTTCACCCAGGGCCATGCTGTAGGCATGCTGGCGGACCAGGATAAAGTCGGGCTTGAAGGATCTGCCGAGAGAGAGGCACCAACAGCAGTGTCACCACACCAGGTACTGATGGAACACGAGGGTGCCAGGCCACAGCCCACTGAGACAGCTGGGTGGGGAGCAGGATGAGGAAGGTTGGGTGCAAACTCACAGCCGCTACAAAGTCAAAGGACTGAACACAACTCACATTTTCTTCTTGATCTTTTTTAGGCTGTTTTCTTAATTTTCTACATTGAACAAATATTTCATTTGCAACCAGAGAAAGAATGTATCAAAATATCAGCGAGTATACTGTGATTTTTCACTAGGCACATACTACCTTACCAAATCCTCATAATTGCCCCAGGATGTGGGTATTGCTGCCAAGGAATGAATTTTATAGATAAGTACCCTGAAGCTCTGAAAGATTAAATTACTTGCTCAAAGAGATCCACTGCAGGTAAATGGCAGGCTCAGGTCTGCGGAGCCGGGGCCCTTGTTATCAGCCACCGTGTAACATGGCTTCCCTCCTGTGTATTTCAAATGCGTCCTGTCCCTTTCAAGTAGCAGCCTCTGGAAAGCAGCCAGAGCACTCATGTGAGAGCTGAGTACACGCCAGTCTCCTTGCTAGGCCCCTTTGGAGAGCTGAGCCTGACCAGTACTCCTAAGCAGACCTGGGGAAGGTCAGGACCACTTCCCCATTTTATAGACAGGACACTGCAGCTCGGAGAAGTCAGGAACTTCCCCAAGTCGCAAAGCTGGGAAAAAGGGATGCCACGTTTGAACTCAGGTCATCTGGCTCTAAGCCCACATACACTTTTCCCTCCATCACGTGGCTCCAGGTGGGTTCACACATTGTTGCATTCACACCGCCAAGGATCCATCTGCTTCTGGATTCCTCACTCCCAAGTCACATGAGAAAACCAGCCTCACAGTAGGCAGGTGGTTTATACTCAAAATGGTGTGATCCATTTGTTTTGTCCAGAGTCAGACACTTAGCTTCAGATAAACTGTGTCTCTTTAAAACAATTCAAGTGTAAATTAAGATAAGTATCAGAAGGAAAGAACTTGCCCACACTGAAGACAGAGGGAAAGCATGAGCTGCTGGGGCAGGTCCTTCTCCAATCACTCTGAGCTTGGGCTTCGTTATACACCCCAGGGCCTGGTGCCTGAGGGTCAGGGGAGGAGTACGTACACGTTGAAGGAGTGAATGATGTACATAAACATCACCTCATTCCCAAAGGGTCTCGCTGGCTAAGCTGTAACCCGTCCCAGGGGAGCCAAGTAGATGGTGGCATCTTGGGTATGGCTGACATCGCACCCATGGAAATGTTTGATCTTGACACTCTGTGGTTAGGATCTGGGTTCAGTTAGAAGCTTGGAATTATTATGCCTATATCCTTACTGCATTCTCAGACTTGAAACAGTCCAACGAGTGTATTTTACAGACTGGGAAACTGAGGCCCATAGCTAGGCAGTGACATGTCCCAGGTCACCCAGCAAAACCATGGCAGAGCAGGAACTAGCAGGTCTTTCTTTCTGGTTTCCTGATTTTGTGTTCCACTTTGCTAGCTTACACAAATCGATGCTTTCTTCTTTAACTATTCCCTTAAGATAGATTCTAAGAAGTGGGATTACTGGGTTAAAGAGTATGAATTTATTTAAGTACTCACAAAAAAGTACCCTTTTAGAAGGGGGAATGTCACCAGTTGCATGTGACAGTGTCCATCTCACTATAACCTAGCCAGCACAGCAGTTTTTTTAAAGTGCATTTTTCAATTTGATAAGCAATTTTCCCCATAAGACACCCTCTGCCCCACTATTTTAGTTTGCATTTCTCTGCTTTCAGTGTATGTGTGCTTCCATCAACCATCTGCATTTTCTTTTCTGCAAAAGTCTGCACACCTTTCCCCATTTTCAAAAAGAGGGCCTTACTTTTTTCTCATTGATATAAATAAGGATTGGATGCTGCCCTTTATCTGTCATGCGCAGCAATGTTTTTACTAATTGTTTCCCTTTTTTTTTTTCTATGACTGTGCATCTTAAAAAAACACACAAGTACATTTCCCATTCCCTCCTGGGCACATCTACCAGCCTTTCCCTGTTGACTTGTCTCTCTGTTTCGATGCTCAGAGGCCCTCCGGGGCTCCAGTTCCGACAATGAGGCACCCCTCCTCCCGGCAGTGTGGTTTCCCTCCTACACAACAGTGGCAGCAAGCTTGGTGTTTCCCTAGGAGCAACTGCTCTGCTCCAGGAGAAAATAATTAAACGTCTCCTGCTGGCTAGCCTGCCAGTTTTTCACTGTTTGTAGAGAACCGCTAAGAGGGATACAACCTCTAGGAAAAGAGGGTGACCTTCCAGACCACTTTCCAAGAGGGGTTTCCAATCGCCTGTCTTAGGGTATGAGATATTCTGACTCCAGCTCCAGATATTATGGGGCTCTCTCTCCAGGACTTCTAGAACTCACCTCTAAATCAAAATCTTTCTGATTCTCTGAAACAAAAGTAGTGGCCACCTGCTCTTTGTCTTTAAGGGTGTGGACCTTGAGATTCCACATTTGAAGTGCTCTTGCAAAATCATATACTTCCCTGTTTATACCCTCTAAAGGCTTCCTCTGACAACAGGTCCTCAGCTCCTTACCATGGCAACAGGGCTCCTGCCTGCCCCTCCATCCTCATTTCCTTCCTTCCTCCTCTCTCCCACCTCGACTAGAGCCACACTGACACTGTCCCTTACTCTATTCTGTCCCTGGACACTCTTCCCCCAAACTGTGCATGGATGCTTCATTCTCATGACTTACTCATCACCTCAAGTTTATTTCCTCAAAGACACCTGTCCTGCTTACTCTATTGAAATTTGCCCAACCCTCATGTTGCCCAATGTTCCTTTCTTCACAACTCTTTTGACAATTTTCTTTCTCCTGTTTATCTGTTTAGTTGTTTATTGCCTATCTCTCCCCTCAAATATGTCAGATCAATGAGAACAGAGGACCATTCCATCTTGGACAAAATAGGCTATGCCAATGTTTTTAATGAATGACTGAGTTAAAGAATACATGTAGAAATGAATGAATAAATGAGAAGTGGAAGGGACACTGAAGAAGGAAGGACCCTCTTTCCTGTGGTCCCAGGTCAGAGAATTAATACTAATGGCCAAAGTTGCTGTGGCCCCTAATAAGCAGGGGCTGCCTTACATGGTAATAAGGTGTGTATTCCTGGAGGTATGCTAGCATCACCAAAAGTTTTAACCCCACAGTATTTAGGATAGATCCTATGACCTCTGAAGATTCTCAGATACAATATACAAAAAAATAAACACTTCCCACAAGTGATATACCTGGGCAAACAAGGCATGTGCTACAGTTCGAATTCTGCCAGTCATTGCTACATAGATGCACAGAGTCCTTCCTGCCAGCCTGGGGTATGGGAGATTTATTTGCAAGGATTGCAGAGAAGTCAGTGACTCAAGCCAAATGACCTATGATATGCAGTTTCCGGGCTCTCTACCAGTCAGGGAATGGCCAAGTCCTGCATGTCACCCCAACATAAGAATGTGCCTGCCTGCAGTTTTCAGGGCCCGACCATGGGCTAAGCACCCTGGGAGAGGCTGGAGATCCTGAGATGACTGGGACATGATCCCTGCTTTAGGGAAACTCATAGTCCAAGACAAGTGGGTACAATTGTAAAGGATAAGGATTTGCTAAATGAATAAATGAATAAATCAGTGCAATAATGAAGGCACATATGAGGTTTGAGGATGGACCAAAGGGCATATTCAACTCTGTCTGAGGGTGGGGGGTGGATAAGCATGTACCAGAAGGCTTGGGTCTGAAAGAAAAGTAGGGGTTTGTCATGTGGGCAGGGCTTCCAGGTAGAGGGAATGGCACCTGCAATCAAATGGATGGACCCTCAGAGTGGGGTGCAGTAGCCTGGGCTTGTTTTTTAATCTCAGTACCCTTCCTTTTTTTGAAAACATAGTCCATGATAAAATCCTCTGCAATCACATTTTCCTGGGCAGTAACTGGTGTAAGGATCGCACCTCTGCTGGAAAACGGGCCTGTCCGCATCCCGCTCTGAGTGCTGGGAAAGAGGAGTGGCTGGCTAAGCTAAGGTGCAGTGAACGGGGGCTGGGCCACCTTGTCCAGGCCACATGGAGAGATCCCATCTGTGGGGGCAGTGCCACAGGAACAGAGACAGGAGGGAGACGACAGCCCTGTCAGCATCAGTTGAATCTCTGATCCCTGCTGAGCCTGACACTAGCTCTGTCGTTATCTTCTGAGTTAACAGGAGCTATTAAGTTGCCTTTTGGCCTACAGTAGTTTGAATTGCCTCTGTTGCTTGCCATCACTATTGCTCTGATACTGGGGGGAAGTGGCAACATTTGCAATTGGTTACATGGCTGCAGTTTAAGGTAATGATAGGGCAGCAAGAAATAAGGTTGGGTAAAAAATCCCCCCAGCTCTCATGAAGCTTCTGTCTCCACAATCCCCCGGGCCCAAGCCCTGTGGTCTTATCATGCCTGGGCACGAAGGCCTCCCTCAATCCCACACGAGTTGGCACATCTTGGCTGGACACTGTACCTGGGTTTTCTTGTTGTTTCAGCTTTAAACTTAATATGAGATATATTCTTTGGGTTTCTGGTCCCACCAGGTCTTTTTCAGAAGTGGTTGTTGGTACTGGAAAGGAAATCAAGGACAAGATATAATTCAGTAGTAGAGAGGGGACAGGTGGTACATTGCTAGGACTGACTGGCACTTCAGGCAGCATCAAGAGCAGGGGCCCAAAGGCTGAATAATCACTTTTAACCACTGGAGAAGTGTAATAATTCCCTCAAATATGCAGAAATCTGCAGTGGCAAGAACAGACCTTGGCTGGGCTTTGCCTGGGACCTAAATTAATAAGCAGAAGCCTCACTCTTCTAGGCCGTTTGACGGCTATGTTGTAATGGTCCCCTGTTCTCCAAGAGCCAGGTTGGTGATGATGCAGAGTTTGGTCACATGCTGACCCACAGCACCCAGATCTGAGCCCAGCTGTGCTGGGAAGG